GGCGGGCGCCGCGGGTCAGCAGAGTCTTGCTCGGTTGCAACGCGCTGGTACACCGGTCAGCAAAGAATTTGCTGCGTTGTTACAGTGTCCTTACCACCGTCAGCAGATCGTGCTGAATGCACGCCTGTACGGCCGGTCAGAGATCCTGTGCACTCGGCGCGTTGCACAGCTGTACGCCGGTCAGCAGATCTGCTGGTGCACAGCTGTACGCCTGTGGTCAGCTCAGATCTGCTGTTGCACAGCTGTACGCCGGTCAGCAGATCTGCTGGTTGCACAGCTGTACGCCGGTCAGCAGATCTGCTGGTTGCACAGCGTGTAGCGCCGCCCGTCGGAGCAGATTTGCTTGAATGACCACCGCTGTTACCGCGCCGGGTTCAGCAGACTTCTGGTTCTGAGTTTGCACAAGGCTGGTCACCGCCCCGGTCAGCAGATCCTGCTCGGTTGCAAGGCTGTACGACCTAGTCGGGTCGAGTATCTGCTGCTCCTCCTTCTCTCCGCGTTTCTCGGTAAACAATGTTTTATTAGTTATCATACTCGTAATATTATATTTTATATTACTTAGTAAAAAACATCAGCTTTAGCTACATTCCTCTTTGAAATTTACAAATTGACCTTTAAATGCATTAGAATTGGTTCTTCTCAACATAGCCTGAAAATGCCAGGAAATCTTGCCGTTTCCAAAAGGCCTCTAAATTTAAACAAAATGTTTGGGTGGAATACCCTCAGGACACCCCCCCCCGTATCGGCTTCGCGGCATCGCCGGCGTTAGCCATGCCATGCCTTCAGGCACACACACGTAACTGCCACCTCTGATTATCACTGGGTGGTCCTACATTTTCTGCCAGTTTAGCACATTTGGAGGCCACATACGGCAGTCCTACAGGCTCATGTACGCCGGTCAGCAGATCTGCTGGTTGTACAGCTGTTATACGTGATAATATTTACTCTAGAAATATTAGATAGACTCTCAGTTCCACTATACAGCCATGTATATTTGGGAATCCTCACCATGGCCAGCCTGGGCTTGGCCACAGCTGTGACGCCGCGTGGTTTTCAATGCAGATTGCTCGCCTGGAGCCCCCTCTTGCGCTCACAAGAACAGCACGACCTGGAAAACGACGCCCAAATCTAAGGGGGTCGTGATCATTTTCCCGAAAAAACTGATTCTTCTGTCGTCTGGTTATTGATTGTCAGTTCAGATGCAAAATATTGAAAGCAAAAGGTTATACACCATAGATTAATTGTGTACTATAACACGCGTATATAAGATAGCCGAGTCGGTTTAGAGTTAGTGTTAGGGTTAGGGTTGGGTTAGGACTAGCTATGGACGCAATGCAGGCCGATCGACAGCCGAAAGAAATTCAATTCGCGGTCAGAAAAATATAAATAAAGTGCGTTTTTTCGTCAACTTTTTTCTTGGTTGTCCACCGGACAATGTCTCAGACTGGTTAGGTTGTCCGGCGCAAATTCTGGTTGTCTCGGACAACTGGACAACGCTTATTTCGAGCACTGCACAACCCGCCCACCCCTCCCTGTGCAGAAATATATAGTTCCCGCTGACTGGCTGGTAAGTTGGTCCCGAGCATTCGCAATAGAATGATCTATAGCCCTGCGGCAACTGTACGCGGGCTATAATACTAGAGCTAATAGTAATAGTACTATTACTAATACAGACAGAGGCTGTCATAGGGGTGTACCGTAGTATTTGGACGCTCGCCCGAAACTGGATGCTCATAAGTGCGCACGCACGCAGGCGCCTCTTGTTTTGCAAAGGCACACACAGCGCATGCGCAGCATGCGCAGTACCGGGTAGTCATCTGCGCATCTTGCCCATCGAAACGGTCGCAATAAACAAACATGGCGGACTTACCCGGTCACTGATGGAAACATTTGATTGAAACAATTTGCAATATGTAGTAAATTAGTAAGACTGTGTTATGTGTGTCAGCTAGGTTACAAGGCAAACAAAAAGAAAACAAAAGAGCATGGCTACTATTTCCTACGGCCGTGCAAAACAAGATTCAAACAAAAAGAAAACAAGAGGAAAACAAAAGAGCATGCCTACGGAGCGTGGGAAATGCTATCCCCACACGAGCTACAGAGGGTGACCACGAGTACACCACAGTGTTCCAGCCAGATGCTACGCTCCTATCTGGCCCAGCTACTAGCAGTGAACAAGGTAAGAAAGATGGGCCAAGCATTTTGTTTTCCGCTTAATTTCTCTTACATGATTGTCTACACTGAAGTGGATAAAACTTTAAAAATACAACTCTAATACTCTACTGGCAAACAATTAAAAACGGACGCGTCCTCTATTGTACAGCTATGTATCACTGTTCGGTGATTTATATGCTCTGCTGATGCTAAATGTTAGAATACTAGCATACCTGTATCAATGTATAGTACCCTTTTTCAAGTTATCGCAGATATTAGACTGCCTCCCATCATAAAAAAGAGAGGTCGACCAAAGTGGGGTGGGAAAACAGCTGTTGGTCTGCCCAGGAAGCGGAAAGTGGATCGTCCACAAGTGTTTCTTTCTCGATTTCCCTTGGATCGTGAAAAGGGTGAGTTTTGGCTTGTTTTGATGACGTCTTTTCTTTTATGACAAGCTTTCTTTAGTAAAGCAGAATACTGTTAGGTTTGTGTAATTGTCATAGCTGTGATTTTTTCCATTTTTGGCAGAATTCTGTGTTTTAACAGCCCTGGCCCTGGGTCGATTCTATGTGTTAAATTTTAGCACACATAAAGCGCAAACACACCGTTTGGTGGTGATTAGAAGAGTTCTCTGTTAAAAGCTGTCATGTAAAATATACAATACATACAGTTGTATACATTTGTAGTGTACTTTTAGTACGGCAAATATTACAGAAATAATGTTCACTCTAGACTGGGACAAAAATTAATACCAAGAAAAGGCAAGGAAATGGCTGAGATTGCCGAAAAACGCATCCTTATCCCTAAAGCTTCTGGGGCCTATATGCAGCCCCAGGCCCTCAGGAGTAGTCATGCAGTGGCTTATCCAGCCCCCAGACCCCCGGGCTGTGGTTTCAGTTTTTTTTAAACCCCAGCTATCACACCTCTGAATTGCACTAGTTATCATTGTAATAGATTTTCAAATTCTTTTTTTATCATTTTTTACTTTTGCCTCCTATTTTGCTATTTTTTTTATTCATCTTAATGATTGCTTCATATTTTATCACTTTCAGTTATGCTCTCCTGGTTTGTATCCCAGGAACAAGCACATTCTACGATTACAAGCAAGACGCTGATTGGGCCAGAAGACGTCAGCCGCAGGGCAACTACCACTGCTGTTTTAGATGCAAGTGTTTGCATTAAAACCATACGCAAATATTTCACATCGTCTGCATGGGATGCGGTTAATGTAGTAGTCGCTGAAACAGAAGAAGATCCCATTTGGTTCTGTGGGATGTGCACGAATGAAATCACAGAGGAAACATGTGTAGCATGTGATAGCTGCCTCCAATGGAGCCATTTTCATTGTGCAAGGTTAAGGACTAGCCCACGGTCAGCAGATCTGCTGGTTGCACAGCGGACACGTGCGCTTCTGCTTGAGGCAGGGCAGCAGGCAGCCGCCGTGGAAGATGTGCTTGCAGGGCGTGACGCGCGCCGACCGCATCGGCAGCAGGCACACGGCGCACACGTCCTCGAGCGTCGCGAGCTCGTGCTGCGTCGCCTTACGGAAGCGCGCCAGCTTGCACATCTCCTCCTGCAGGCCGCGGTAGACGTTGTGCAGCAGGTCGCGGTAGCTGATGTAGACGTTCGTCGTCACACAGAGGAACGCGAGCCCGACGTTACGCTGCAGCAGCATCGCGACGAACAGCACGGCGGCGATGACGATGAGCGCGACTCGCACGGCCGCCGCGCAGTAGTACTTCTCGAGGCCTTCGAGGTAGTCGAGGCGCAGCCACTGTGTGCCGTCTGTCAGCAGCTGCAGGAACGTCTCGCTCTCGAAGAACAGGTAGGAGAAGATGACGACGCTGTACGCACAGCTGCAGGTGGCGCTGATAAAGCAGATGTGAGCGTAGAGGACGAACACGATCGCCGCGAGCACGCTGGCCGGCGGTCCCAGCCGCGCGGCGACGTGCCGCGCCCCGCAGCCCGACCGCCAGAGGGCGCCGGGGGCACTGCTGGTCCGTATCAGCGCGTATCCGAGCTTCATCACTAGTTTACACACAAAGAACGACTGCGCCCAGTGCAGGTGGTGCGTGTCCTGGCAGAGCCATTTCTCCGACATCAGACAGACCATCGCTTCACCTGCGCAGATGTGCAAACATTATGCTTACAGAGACAACCTGTGAAGGGTCACTGCACGAAAATTCCAGCCTTGATACATTTTTTTTCGTTAAATATATTCAGTTATACAACTGTTTTTTTGATGGCGCTATTAAAACTGCATTCCAAAACCGAAAAGCTGTCATAAATGTCATAGATACAGTATTGGTTCTTGATTAAGACATAACAAGTGCCGCAGAGCAACTGGGCTCATTTGAGGTCTGTTGCTACGGTTATAAACGTAACATTTCAGTCATGCGTAGTGACACCTTTGTTAGGCGCAGATATGCAGATAGAGAGAGTGAGAGAGAGGAAGAGAAAGAGTGGGGCGAGAGAGAGAGAGAGAGAGTCAGTCGGACTAAATTGTTTATAAACAAATAACACCCACGCGGCGCGCTACGGTATCAGTTACGTCATCGAGGTAAGGCAGAGGTAAGGCAGACGCACGTATAACGTACAGATTTCTTCAATGTCGGGGAGGATCAACACATTTCGACTGACAGTCAACCATATCGGGCTCTGCAGCGTCCACAGCCAGCATGCTCACCATATCCCGACATTGCACACTACCAGAGTAGATAATAACACAAGAGTGAGACAACCGATTCGCGGCATTTTTAATCTATTTTTCTCATCAAAATTTGCCACAATAAAGAAGCAAGTGTATACCGTTCCTCAGCTTATTATGAACTAATGCGCTCACCTTCATGTAGCTGATATATTCGTCTCACTATATTTGACTAGCGTATTGCTGTAAATCGTAATCTTGCACGAGCTGAATTCGATGAAATTTACGCTCAAACATTGGCGACCTTGTTGCGAGCTGTTTAGACATATTGAAGCTATCGGTGCGCCAATATTTAGTCACGGACGGTTTCCAAATAATGCGGTGTTTTTTTTTCCCCGATAGGGGTTTAATGTAATTGTTACCTGGCGTGACGTAATGCTGATACTTAACTGCAAACTACTACAGAGGATTATTGTATTTATTGTATTATTTACTTTGTAAGTATATGGTCAATTTCTTGTGTTGCGATCAATAAACTGGCGCGTCTCGCAGGTTCTTCACGGATCAAAATTGAATTTAGATTTGTCTCTCCCCTTCGGTGGCAAGGAATGATTTGAAACGCGTCCGTTGCTAATATTAGCGCACCGATAGCCTTATAAATAATGGCTAAACATGCGTCAAAACAAGCGGTAAATCGGCGATTCAGCTCGTGCAAGATTAGCGATTCAGGCATACGCTAGCAAATATATGTAAAGAATATCAGTACGATGAGGTGAGTGATTTAGTGTCATATAGTCTGAGACGTATACACTTGTTCTTTATAGGTGGCCAAATTTTGATGAGAAAAATCGGTAAAAATGCGGCAGATCGGTTGTCTCACTCTTGTGTGTTTTATCTACTCCTTGACACTACTGTAAATGTCGACGGAGAGAGCCATGCCAAGAGACGTAACAAAACTGGCAAATTTTAATTGTAGGTTTTGACTATTCCATTTTCTGCACGATTACTTATTTCAATGATGATTAACTGGCAGTTACGAAAGTAATTCTTTCTGCATTTTTTGAGCGCAATATATATTTGACCTATCTCCGGACGATTCTTCTCACTCTGTTCTCGATACGCTGTGGCATCACTGCGCACTATGCTGCAGGGAATAGATAATCCGAAACTAACCGCGACATTGCCGCCCCGGTACGTGCGCGCGTGAAGCGCGCCTTTTTTGTCCACTTAGACAGATATCTGAGCACAGGGCGTCTAAAATGGAATCCTCTGCGAAAACTGGTGCGGCAACCTTGCGATGCCAGAATTTTCCTGTGAAATTTAAGTCTTGCCACGACTCACACAATTGAAGTACGCCATCAAAACACAGTCTCAGTCCTTTGTTAACGTTCAACAAATCCACTGTTTAAACCTCCTCTTGAGGGGTAAAAGTTATCGACATATACTCTTCGCACGTCAAGTGAAAGCAAGAAGCTCGGAAGCATAAAATAGTGCGCGGCTTTTCAGTGGTCGTACCAGGATTTTCTACAATGGGGGGTGGCTAGGACGCACGCCGAACCGGGCGGTCTCGTGGCGCCGCTCTCCCCCGAATTTTTTTGATAAATTAGCCACCCTCAGGTGGGTTTTTCTGCGCGAGCATCCCCCTCGGGGGTCGCGACCCCCTGAGACCCCCTCTTGTACACCGCGCTGAGAAACCTGTAGACTCTGATACCGTGTGCGCTCTGCACTGACGGTTGGAGTCTCCGGGGCTACGATTCATGATTCATCAGTGCGTACGCAAACTATTCTTGCTTAAATCTTGTGTGGCGTACGCAATCGACGTTTCTTAATGTTGCGATTTAAAAATCGCAGTTATTATAATTTGCGCTACGATTTCGTGTGCAAGCGAGGCCGTTTTAGGTGCGTTCATCCAAGCTGAATATTTACGTAACCTTTGCGTAGGGAGTGTGTTATGTGTTGAGAGAGCAAGGAGAGAGAGAGGTGTGCGTGCGTGTTGTGTGTGGTGTGTGTGAGAGAGAGAGAGAGAGGACGAGAGAGAGAGAGAGAGAGAGAGAGAGAGAGAAGAGAGGAAGGTCGAGGGGAGGGAGGGATATGCAGCTGATGGAGGCGGAGAGAGAGAGAGAAGAGAGAGAGAGAAAGAGACCGCGGCGAGCGAAAGAGAGAGGAGAGAGAGAGCGAGAGAGAGAGAGAGAGACGAGAGAGATGAGAAGCAGCGAGAGAGAGAGAGAGAGAAGAGATAGAGCGCGGAAGAACAGAGAAGTGTGTGTGCGCGCGCGCAGTGTCGTGTGTGTGTGAGACGAGAGAGAGAGAGAGAGACGAGGCAGAGCCTGTGGTGATTGTCTGTGGCTTGCTGTGTGTGTAGTGGTGTGTGTGCGTGTTGCGTGTGTGTTGTGTGTGTGTGTGTGTGTGTGTGTGTGTGTGTGTGCTGTGTGCGTGTCGTGCGTGCGTGCTGTGTGTGGGTGCGTGGAGAGAGAGAGAGGGTGTGCGTGTTTGTGCTGGTGTGTTGTTTAGTGAATCAAAAACAAAAAAAAAAGTACTATGATCCATACTATCGTACATAGCAGACAGTCGACAACGTGCATGAGCACTCACGACAGCTATTATACACAAGTCGCGCTTTGATAGTAGAGTAGCGCTGCCAGTAATCGGTGGAAATTTCTGAAATCTCATCGATGTAAACAACTCTAAGTTCTATGAACACTATATGTGTTGCGTGCAATCCAATTCTGCCCATCTACGAATCTCGCGACTGTGTGGCAGCCTCATTGAACGTGTAAGCACCTAAACCACAGCTGATAAACCTGCTTCTGGTAATCGGGAATCCTCTTACTCTTTTCTTCGCTTCTTCTTTTTTTTCTCTTTTTTTTTGATCTCGGGGGCGGTATTTTAGCACCGGCATCCCCTCTTAAGTGCAGGGGGATGCATCCCCTATCCCGCGCGCACTTCTACGGCCCGTGTTGTGATTGCGGTGCGTGCGCCATGGCGTAGTGCAGCGCGATAGCCGCTGCAGGAGTCGGAGCGGGCGGGGCGCGCGGGGTTGCTACGAGGGGTGGTGCCCCTGCGAGTTTAATAAAAATAAAATACATCGTCGCTAACAGAATACCGCATTATCCTTGCACATTTTTCTGTATTATCATCATATTTTACTTGTTGTTGCTTTCATCTAAAATCATTATGATTTTGGCAGAAGAAAATTTGTCATCATACATTTTCCTTGGGTACCCTCCATCACCTCTTCACTTGGCTAATAAAGGCCGACTTGAGTCTCTTGGACAGTATCCTTTCCCACCACCACGCCCCACGACTTCGCGAAATACCAGCCAGAATACGGCCCGACGCGCCTACCCCGGGAAGCATGCCTCCCTCAATTACACGCAACGACATGCTGCTGATAGAATCAGGTAGTAGACGGGGCCAGAGGAATGTGTGCAAAGTTCTGGATAGATAAATTTATAGCAAGTGAACGTGACCTCATCTGACCTGGTCTCCGCTTAATAGGGCTAGATTAAGTCCTCATACGATCGATCATAGCTGCCTCACCGCAAAACCGACGGTATATTCATTTGAAAAGATTTTGGGTTACGCGGAAAATTTATGGGCGCATGAAAAAAGTGCCGGCAGTTCCGACGCCTTGGTGGAAAGCACATTTAATGGCTCGCTTTCAATAACGTGATCCAAAATGTGTGGTAGCGCTGAAACAAAAAGTTTTACACTCTTGCATCCATTAAGACCGGTCCTCAAGAAATGTCTGATTGCTGACCTTTTCCCGCACTGCCCTTTGCTCCAATTTCACAACTGGTGATGGGTTTGCCTTCCCATCACCACTATACACCGATATTGAGAGGCATAGGTCGAGGCCGTCAGCAGATTTGTGCCGCAATTCGTATTTTCTCCTATACCTGAGCGTAAAATGTTCAAAGACGCCGATCGTTAATGTGTTGTTATGCTTTGCAATTTACCATTTATATGGCATTTAACCTGTGACGTTCTGGATTCCTGTAGATTGGAAAGGTACCCCTGAAGTGGAGAGAGTTTGCTGCTCGAATACGCCAGCGAGAGCACACCTTAAAAACAAAGCATTCATGGTAGGCAGCCCTCTTCAGACTACTGCACTTCGACACTGACTCAAACAAAGGGTTAGAATCCTTCTTGGAAACGCACGTCAACTGGTTAGGGCATTATCATCTAAAAACAACAGGTGATTTTGACTGTTAGAAGTATGATGTTTGTCATAGGAATGAGTTAGGTATTATGTTAAGTAAGACATGCATACCGCGAAGCTGCTGATTACGCTCCATATGATATGGAAGATTCGCCGTATATAAAACGTGATTGCAATATGAAGGACTGATGAACGACACCCGCATTGCACACATCCAAGAGTGTATCAGCAAATAAAACGTGTAGTTCACAAAGTGGTCCACAGTTTAGGTTATTGGCAGCAGGCAGCAATCGATCTGCACACACACTGAAATAAGATAAATGTACTCGGTTTAGTTATGAATATAAATACACAGTTTTATCAGGCCCATTACACCCCAGAGGTACAACACTGAAATAGGAAAACCATTGGTGTCGTTCAGCAAAATTAATAACGTTTAACCGTAACCTTATTTTGAGTACTTCTCTAAAAACCGGAATAGTTATGCAGAGAGTCATAGCTAGCCAAATATATGAGATCAACCGCTGTCTCTACGATGTTTCCTATGCCGAGATAATAAAGCGATAAAAATCGAGTACCTCTAGGTAAGCCTAGCTGCCATTACATCACCACAGACCATCTAACCAGCGCCCTCCGGCATGTTAGTGATGCTAATGGTGGCTTCAACAGAGGCTCGTGATGTTTTCCGTCGTTCATGATAAATGAGATGAATCATATGGATATATGAACAAAGAGTTTTAAGGGACTTTGGGTTAGACACCTACCTGTGCCATTTTCTGTTGTCGTTGTTGCTTCAAATTGTAGCACT